CCTGACCGACTGGAGCGTTTCTCTACAGTAATCGTAAACACGTACACTATGGTCCGGCCGAAGCCCACTGTCGCGTAAATTGCACTTCGACCAAACGCATTGTAGTATAATTATGTATGTCGCATCCGTTTAGTGAAATTGTTCAGTCATGAAAAGTTATCCGGTTTATAAAATCGGAACCATTTTTTTACACTTCATGAAATACATAATTATTTCATCAACCGCGTAACTTTTCGTGAAATGGAAACTACATTTTAACATCGTGTAACTTTTTTTATAAACTGGTTAGCCACTTTATGAAACAAAAATATAACTATTATTTTCACCTGAAAATTGATTTATATGACTTTCCAATAATAATATAATATATGACTTACCAATTTAATATAATTATCTTAATCACATTGTTATGTAATTGATGACCTAGTTTCGATCTGCTGTTGATCTTGTTAATAGATATTATCTTTAATACGTATAATCTTCATGTTCAGCGGTGTAATTGTGTACATATTGAATCAGTACGTTGTACAATATTATGCGTGAATGATCACTGTCATTTTAAAATGAAATTCTATTCGAAAGTTGAATTTTATAAAAAAAAAATTGGACATTAATTATAAAAAAACCCGATAAAAGACTTTATACCAGTGATGAAATTCAACGAATCATTAAAGAAATCACAAAAGCTAAATCTAATACGTAAGTGTATACTTTAAAATAATACATTTTTAATCAGGAAAATTATATAGTATATATTTATAGATATAAATCTAAGAAAAAATGTAATAGCCGTTAACACAGTTCAACAACTACATGTTCAAATAAATAAAAATAATACATTTATTTTAAAAAATATTAAAATATTAATTTGTATTGTTACTTATTATACTCGCTTTTTTTTTATTTTAATTTTTTTATAATTTATTTAAAATTAATATTATAGGATGCGTATATAATAGTTTTTTTGTAAGAAATAATAATTATATTTTTATTTGGTTTTTATCAGAATAATTATATTAAATAGGTAGGTGACACAATTGACTATTATAATATTATTAGAAAATTATATAATGTAATTTTCATGTGAAAAAGAATAGTTCTATTTTTATTTTATAAAGTGGCTGACTAGTTGATGTAATAATTATGAAAATCATGAAGTATAAAAATATGGTTTCCATTTATTAACTGGATAACTTTTTATTAAATGAACATTTCACTAAATATATTCAACATATATATATTGTTAACATCATAATATGTATATGCTATATTATAATTTATAATATATTTATTATATTTATTTAAATTTATTATGGCATGATATTATCCAATAAATTATTATTATGACATTCGGTCTGTTCTGACGCACGAACCGCTATGCACACGGATGTCCGACCCATCACTTGGCACCTCAGAAATGAAATTAATGAGCTATTATAAATTATTATAATAATGAAGCTCTATGGTTGTCGTGAAAAAAATAAATTTAAAATATAATAACAATTCTATAATTATTTGTTTTAAACTCACCATATAATTTTTGTATATTTTTGTTTAATTTAAACGTTATAAAGTAATCTAATAAAATATTGTAAGTAAAAAATAAAAAAAAATTGATAATTTCTAATGTGTAACATACACAGTGCTTTAGCAAAATAATTAAAAAGAAGGACTCTTAGAGTATTTCTCTCATAGAGAAACTTAAAAAGAAATAAATATTTTTCTGAAATTATTAATTAACTCGTAGCTTACGAATGGGGAATCTGCTTTATCGTTATTTTGATTCATTTTTATTTTATAAAATGTATGTTAAAACAATAATATACGAAACAGTGATCAAAATATTGTAGCAATAAATCTTTTTATGAAAACGATGTGTTATTCGCTTCCGTTCTAACAAAAATAATTAGTAGTGATATTATTCAAATTTAAAAGCATGGTAAAATAATTCTAGTTGCTCTTTTGTACCTGTTCCAATATAAATAGTCAGTATTTCGAAACCGAATATTAATTACTCACAATAGACGTCTATAAAATGTTGGAAAAATGACTTTTCAAAATTGTCGTTGGTATAGGTTCATTTTAAATTCTAATAATAAAAAATTTATATTTTAGAGAACATTATTAATTAATTTTCAGGACTAAAAATTACTGAAATATTTTTCATTAAGAACATATCTACGTGTCCAATTTAAATCGGTCAAAAACCGTATTCCTGTGTAGTTCATTTGCATTTCGTAGTGATAAAATACTGAATTCCCAACGTGATTCGATTTATTTTTAGTGCAGGCTTAAGTTAGAATTTGTTAATTATGTACTTACATACTTAATTAGTTTGTATTTTATCGTGAAAGAAATTTGAAAGTCATAATTGTTTCGAAATTTTCTGTTCAAAACTGTAAGCAATTCATTTGAAGTGTTGATTATTGATATTCATTGGCAGTTTGTTGATGTTCGACATAGAATACGTTGTCAAATTCAAGCGAATTGAAAACTAAATTTATTTTTAGTTGTTTTTTATGTAAGTAGTTGCTGTGTAAGTGACGAAGACTGTGTAAGAAAAATCTACTTATGATTTGTAGTTAGAAAATATGCGATTGGATATTTATTTTTTTGTATAAAAATGTGAAACATTATATTTGAGAAATACCGATTAAGGTTTTTAGAAACATCATATGATTGACTTGACCATGAAGTGATTTTGACTGAGTTGATTGATTAATTCGGTTGGAGTTTGGTCTTACTGTGGTAGTGTCTTGCTGTACTGATAAATAGATTCGAAAGGAAAACATTTTATCGATTGGTAATAATTGTAACGTAATTTGGATTAGTATTATTAAATTAGTAATTTTATTAATGCATTTTAGGTCAACGGTATTTGGAAAAATATGATTGACGGGGACAAAAGTTTTATTTTTATCGTCGGAGGATATTTGAGATTTAAATAATGTTTTACGAAAACGTTTAGTATTTATTTTTTAATGACGGTCGATATTCATTTTTGGATTTATTTGAAGGTTAGTTAATCATTTTCATATATCCGATTTAAGTTATTTTATTTTTAAATGTTAATATTGTATTAATAGCTGATGGAGTAAAAATATTTCGTTAACAGCATGATTAAATTAAATGAATATATCGTAAAACGAATTTAAATATAAAATGTTTTTTTATACATTTTAAACTTTTTCTCTGTTCAGAAAATGTGAAAATGTGAAAACAGCTCAAAATTATTTACCACGTAAGCACATAAGTAACTGATTTTTCATGCTTAAATACTAAATGAATATATATAACATAAATGTAATAATATATAAATATATTTAACTTTAAAAAAATTGTTGCGGGTTGCTAAATTTTTTTTTTTACTTTTTTCGATTGTATTTCAAATATTCCATCATCATTTTCATGAAACTGACCAAGAGATAGACATGTTTTTGCATAAATATTTTTGTCAATTTTTCGACACCACAAAGTTTCAAAAAACTACAAATAATATTGATATTTGGACACAGGGAAAATTTAATATGTTTACGAGTACTCCGTATGAGCCATAATTTAAGATCCAAGCTAAATTATTTAAATTGTAGATGTTTAAATAATAAAGAACAGAACCAAATATGATATATATATATATTTTACGTTAAATATATCTGTTTTTTAATACTTGGATACATATTCGTATTCCAATCAGTTCGGAATGTTTTTTTATTCAATACAAACTTTTTTTTCGCATGATTTTAATTTCAAAATGAAATTCGAATTATTATTAATAATTCTATTTACATATTATACATACATTTTTTTTTCGATTAACATTAAATTACCGAAATAACATGTTACCCATCAACGTTTTATATTGAGTTGGCATTGCCGAGGGAATAATATTTTTCCATTTATTTTTGGGGTTTATTTTCGTGTCAAACATTTAAGTACCTATTTGTTTGTACATTTGTAGATTTAATGTCAAATACACTTGCTTTTTATACTTTTTACGATTGGTTGCTCGTCATTTATGTCTTGACAATATGATTATGCCTTCAAATATCCAACGATGTTCGTAAAAGTACTGTTTAAATGAAAACATAAATTTTCTATAATATTGTAATATCTGTGGCACATGATTACGGTAAAATTAATACTAATTGATATATGTATTCTAAAAAATGCTAATAGACTGTGATGATAAACATTTGAGTAGTTATTAGATACTGGTCAATTTAAATTTCAAAATATTGTAATTAATCGATTGTGCACGGAAAATTGAATTGCATGTCTCTAAAATATGTTGTAACACAATTGTATTTATTCCGGGATAATATAGATAAATCAAAAAAAAAAAAAAAAAAAATTCAAAAAACAACTACTTTAGTTACGTTTTTACTCCGAAAGAAATATGTTAGATGTGTTATTTATTAAGACTTTAGAATTTAAATGATGCTTTAGCATAATTGAGTTATTTAAAAAAAAGCGCATCTGCGTATCAGATGCACGCTCTTCGTGGACGGCAAACGATAGAATTACACGCGATCATGCATGAAAATGTTTTGATTTAATATTTTCCTTTTGAAATCATACAATTACCGAGATCTGTTCCACTACGCACGAGATTGCTGATGCGTTTGCGTTCGAATAATAATGATCACCACACGTGTTACAAACGGGTATCATGGGACAACTACTTTTAGCTGATTTTCAAACTCCTTGTTTGATCACAGCGACGCTGATATCTTTAAGTCTGGCGCGGGTAATTCAAATTGCGTTATAATCCGATCGAAATTTTAATGGCATGTGTGTACGTTTTTTAATCACTCGACACTTTGCGGTGGTTTGATAAGTGCACGCGGACCTTATTCGATGGAAACGACGTACGTATTCCGTCCACGTACTTCGAAAACGGAGTTCGATGTGCTCTTTAGGTAAAATTCGGGAGGGATTGAGGGGAGGGGGGGTTTCCGTGAAAACTTCTTAGGCTAATGATCTATATTGTGTTCAACAACCTTGCCCATATGGGTGCACGGAGTCGTTTCTGTCGGACCATCGGTACGGTGGACGCGGACGTTGTAGTCGACGCCTGCGATAACTTCGAAGTTTCCACCTGTTCCTCTTCGCTATTCTTCATGTCGCAGCAACTGCTGAATGGTTACATTGATAATAAAAAACAACAAGCCACGTACGGTAAAATCATGTTATATTATATTATTTTATTGGCGAATGGTGGAGCGTCGTTTAATTTCAATCCAATATATCAAAGCGAAATTGGCTGACAAAATACACCATTATAGTTTGGTATGACTACCGTAATTGAATGCTCTGTTACTTAAATGGTTTTTTATACCGACGGATATTTTTAAATGTACCAAGTTGAGCAACAGACAATGATTGTTTAAATCATGGGAAAAAAAGTCTTTTAGTTACATATATTTTTAATCACAAAAAATTTCAATAACATAGTTTTATTTAATTTTTTTTATTTATTTCTTATAGTTATTTATTTACTCTTTATTTACTGGACGTAAAAATTGAGATTTTAATACGTGTTTTATATTGAGTTATAAGAGTAAATTAAAAAAATTCATATTTTTTCCGGTCGTAACTAAACTATTTTCAACAAAAATGATTTCACATTAAAACAGGAAAGGCATAAAATACGAGATGAATGAATTGAATTAAAACTTTCATAATTTTCTGTTACATTTTTAAATATACATAGTAAATAGTTACCTTAATTATGAATGTTTAATTTTAATCAAATATTCGAAAAATATTATATTTAAGTAGAAAATTTTAATTAAAAACGTTGTAAAAAATTCTTGTATAATTTTTTTCATATTTTCCAAATATAAAGTTATAAGAATTAATAGGGTACTACTAAAAGTAAAAAATTATTTTATGAACTTCAAATTGATATATTCGTTTCATAAATTTTGAAGCAAAAAAATATGTCGTTCATATTTGTAGATATAGTTATTAATTTACATTTTTATGTGTGTTCTGTAAATCTTACTTTTATAAGGATAATTTTAGTATAATTTATATTAATAATTATTAATAGTATATTTGTTAAAGACTTGTTTTATTGAATTAAATGCGAGTTATTTCAATGAGATCTGGTGGCTGCATTCATGAATCCACGAAGCTGTTACAAGCTTTAATAATGTGACAGCATATCTGTTATTATAAGATCAAAGATGACGCAGACATTTTTCACAGATGTAATTTATTATTTAGTGTACAAAAAGATTTTTTTATTCTTATAGTTATTTAAGAATTAGAATTAGTTAAGAGTTGATCTTAATTTTATATTGTGTTTTTGAATGCAAAAGGACAATTTTAAACCATTCCGGCGTTTTGATAGGCAATATTGCTACGTGCACGTCACGCATTCTTATTATTGGTATCTGTCTGGGAGTTGTGAATTGAAAATATTATTATTCCGCAGTGCAAGTTTAGAAAAATTAAAAAAATCCGAAGCTCTCAGTTGTATAATCGCATTACATTGTGCATGAAAAACGCTCTCTTAGAGTTTTTTAAAAGTAACTTAAATAAAATCAAACGAATAATGTAAAAAAACCTTATAATGGTTACCTGAGATATATGTTATGTTTATATGTTGCTATTATGTATGGTAATAAGGTTTATCTACGACAGTAAACATTCATCAAATATTACAATTATTAAAAATAACAATTACATTCATATAATACCTAACGTGGTGCATATTGTTTGATTAATTATGGAACACAGAGCGCCTATTTAATTTTAATTGTTTACAATCGTGTAACATCGATTATAATTATTTTTGTTTGGATAAACGAAATTCGAAAAATTAAACACGAATCGGTTGTACGGAAAAATTTGGCTATATCGATTCTACGATAGTATTTACTACATCTGAAAATACGCATATGTCGAAACGAAAAATTATGGAATACTGTTTAGCCATAACGATTTCGGAACCAACCCAATACAAGCTTTAATTAATTTAGAATATTTTTGAATACTGAAATTATAATATGGCCGGGAAATTAAAACATTAATAAGTTGTAGAAAACAATTTCTTTTGCACTTTAGAGTTAATAATAAAAATAATCTTCTCATTTCCAAACGATGTCTCAAACTATTTAGATGTTGATGTAAATGCTGCTTTTTTAAATACGTATTTACTCATTTAAGCGACTTAAAATTTGAGGTAATTCACCCAAATGAAAATCGCCTTTTATATTTACTGGTGTGTTTAGATTCATCGTTAAAGGTTTAAAATTAATTAATTAGTTAATTACAACATCGAAATAAATTTACAACTCATTAAAAGCCATATAAGAATTTAAGATAATGGTTTGTAAACGTTGGAACTATATCGTTATAAGTAAGCGAAGAAAATTGATATTATTTGATTAAGAAGGTAGGTAATGAGGTTTTTTATATATTTTTTTATTTTTTATCGTTTAATTTTAACGTGAACTTTTATTACATCCGTGGTATTGCTTGTATTTTATTTGCGTACATTCTCATAAGTAATATATTATACATTTATAATCATTTGATTTTTTGTAATACTATACTTATACTGTATTATAGTTTTATTTACATACAAATAGTTTTGGTAAATATTATTAAAATAATAAATAAATAATTAACAGTTAAATAAGTTAAATAAAATTTTGATTGTATTAAAATGCCATTTTTAGTACATTTAAAATAATACGTCGCAGCATCATAGAATGTTGTAATTTGTTTAATGTGGTTTGATTAGCATGATAATAGTTAAACTTCGTAAACGACGTGCATATAATTTTAATACAATACGTCGTCTAACGGTTAGTATCTTATCCAATTTAGGGATAAAATCACATTATAATATTATGATATCAAAAATTTAAAAACGCTATTCATCCGCCAAAATCATTA